AAATTGGCGTAATAACCTCGAACGTTCCATTGAAGAATGGACAACGACGAGAAGAGAAAGGACAAAAACAGAGAACAAGGAAGAAACAAAGGCGAAAGAGCAACAGAGCACGTTAAAGAATATCAGGGTCGGGATCAGGGTCAGCAAAGTCAGGGTTAGGGGGCATGGGTAAACTGAGCAAAGACGGAGGGAAGGAAACGGGAGAACAGATCAGAGGTGGGCGGGCGGGGTCCGGAGGAGGAGGAGGAAGAGGAGGAGACAACGGAGAGGAGCAGTCAAGGACAGCAGTAGGAAGAGGGGGAGTAGAAAGAGGGGAGCGCACCCCAGCAAGAGCAGCAACCGAAAGGGAAGCAGGGGCCAAAGAAACCTCCATAGCAGGAACAGGGGGCGCAACCACTGAAACGGGAGGGGAAGGAGCAACAGAGCCAGAAGTAGGAGCTAAGGAAGAAAGCGAAGCCTTCTTACCCGCCGGGGAAGAGGAAGGAGAGGAGCCAGGCTTACGCTTCTGACTTAAAGAGACAGGTGTCCCAGCAACTACGTACCGGGCAACGGATTCCAGTGTCTCAACAGGAGAAGCCGAACGAGAGCACACACGACGGCCGTTAGGAGAGCGATGGACATCCGCCTGCACCGACAGGCGGCGGGGAGAGCCGATAGATGGAGGAAGAGGATGGGAAGGAGGATCGGAGGGGGACGAGGAAGAAGACACAGGAGACATGACAGACCGGGTTGAAAGAAGGGGAACCCCAGACAGAGGACCAGGAGGGGGACCCCTCGGGAAAGAACTCAAAGGAACAGAGGAGGGGGCAGTGGGCGTATCAGGGTCCAAGGCCCGGAAACGGTTGAGAGTCTGAGGAAGGGGGGAAGGACGAGGAGAGGAAGAGCGCAACACGCGAGCATAAGAGATGTTAGTATAAGGCGGGAGCCGGCGAACCTGGCGCCTCGCCTCAGGAAAAGACAAACGCTCCCGGTGCTTCAGGTTAAGGACGGCCGCCTCAAGCTTGTAATGGACACAGGCACGGGAGAACGTAGGATGGGCCTCACCGCAGTTGAGGCAGCGAGCTTGGGGAGAAGTGCACTCCGACTTAGAGTGACCTTCACTCCCACACAAAGGACAGAGAGAGACAGTCCCAGAGCAGCGGAGGGCACCATGCCCAAACCTCCAGCACTTATTACAAAGTCGAGGAGAAGGAATATACTCCTGGACAGAGCACCTAGCACCAGCAAGAATGACAGAGGATGGAAGGGTCCTACCATCAAAGGTGATCTTCACAACGCGAAGGGGTTGACGGCGACGACCACGAGGGGGACGAGTAAACGAGTCAACCTGGAGGACAGAATGGCCTTGGGCATCAAGGATATGCCGAATATCATCGTGGCAATCCTGCAGATTCCGAACACCGGTTGCAACATGGGGTGGGAGGAGAATAGTGCCAACACTGGAATTCATCTGAACGTTCTTGGAGACCCGAACAGGGATCTCGCCAAGGCAAGATAAGGCAGCCAAGCGGGAAGCCGCATCCTGAGAAGGAGCAGCAACGACACGTGTACCGAGACGAGTGGGGTTGAAAGTAACACACGCATCCACGGAATCTACAAGATGCCGATGGAGGGAGAAATCGTCAGGAGGCGCAGAATCAAGAGGGAGGAGATCAAAGTATTTGGCCCATGAAGCAGGACCAAACAAGGCCTGATACGCATCAGCACGGGAAGGAATCGAGCGAGTGCGGTTGGGGCGCGAACGGCGTTGAGAACCCCTAGAGAGAGAGGGGTCAAAAGGCGCAGTAGTCACAACGAAAGACTTAGCCACACCAGGGGACGAAGTGGTCACCACCGGGGGCTGGAGGCTCGACCCAACCTCAGAGGAGGGAGGGGAGCTGGGGGAAGAAGTCAGGACGGTCAAAGGAGGAGCAAGGTCGGGGCCCAACGCAGCGGGAGCTACAGAGCCTGGTCTTCCAATACAGGCCGACTCGGGGGCTTGGTCGCCCACCCCACGAGCCTGAGAGGGTACAACGGAAACATTCAACGACATAGAGACGAAAAGTGACAAATTCATCCACGAATGTGCCCCCATACCCACCATGGAGCCACAATTAGAGGCAGGACACCCAACAGGAAGCTATCGCCGATCATGCCGGGGCCCCCTAGGGGTGCGTCGTGAGTATACGCCCCACAAACGCCACCTTAAGAACCGTCAGTCCGTCGAGATCGGGTTCAGCGACGAAAGGGGGATTGACAAGAAAAGGCTCCCCTCGCTCGAGACGTCGGGTACTACAGTTCTACGGGTGCAAGAGTATGCCTCCTCAAGCACCCGGGCGTCAAAATAGAAGAAGTCCAAAGAAATAATCCAAAACAAGCAAAAGGTCGGCAGGAAACGACAAGCAGATAGGAGAAGAGGGGGGGAGAAAAACGAAACATAAGGAAAAGGAAAAGCGATCCGGCACAATTGGAGAAGACAGCAGCAGAAGTGCAAGGCCAGAAAAGGACAGAGGACTGCCCAACGGAGCATCACACTCCGGCAGCCGTCCACCAAGCCCCCTCACGACGCCAACGGGCCGGAAGGGGAGGGGGATACCTGGTCAAATTCATGTTTCATTTATGATTTAATTTACATGAAACTTGCACATTATATGTAAAGTTTGTGCCTCTAAAAACTGGTGTTGATTTGTTTTCAACATTCAAGTCCATTTATTGATTTTATAAATATTTAGAAACATCATTTTGTTGCATAATTTTTTGGGGGAACTTTGAAAATTTGTATTGTTGCACTAAATACATTTAGGATAGAAATATTACAACAAAACCTTTATTATATGGTAATATTATAGCTGAGTGTCATAGAAATTATTTCGGTTGACACTTGTGTTTGAAATATCAGGTTGAAAAATGTTGAAAATCGTCTAAAATACTTTTTTTTTCTCCCTTCCTATTTATACTACGATGCTGAGACTTGGACCAGATGAAACCCTTTTCATATACAACTCCTCAAAAAAGTTTGATTGAAATCAAATCATTTTCATTTTTGAATCTATTGGCCCCTCAAATTGACACACAGTCCGGTTGTTTCCGCAGGTATCACGTGACGGCTTAAGTTCTTCTAATTCGTATCTTTGTTATATGATTTCTAGCAGCGCCCTGCGATTTCCGGATTCTGCAATGGCAATCGTGGAGTGGCATAGAATCACCTCAGCTGGCTGCTGCTTGATATAGACAGGAAAATTACCCTGTTCTGGCCGGAACAGAACAAGACCTCGTCCACTCAGGGCAAAGCTTGAAAACAGAATACCTGCCTTTTGGGCGGGACGGACTGAGGTGGTGGCTCCCCTTGTGCCAGGCTAGATCAACAATCAGGTTCGAGCGACGGCGGAGGCCTCGTGCCACTTCCAATCAGGGCGAACCTGCAGGTGACGTGACGTCATGGCGACCGTTGGATTTCAAGTGCCAGGCGAGGGGGCCTCCTCTCTCTCACCTTCCTGTTGCTATGTGCCTTAAGGCCAGGTTTCAGGAAAATCCTGTATCTATTCATCCAAAAATGCTACAACAACGATGATTGGTTCTCTGGATAGCTGAAGGCATCTGCTTTCGAAAGACACTAATTTCTACCTCCTATCTCCAATACTAAGGGACATAAATTTCTGTGCGCACCCGTGCACATCCCTGAAATTTTTTAAGGCCAAAATATCATTTTTTCTCCTACTATCTAATAAGTGTAAGCTAGCTCAGAGGGCAACCCCTGACACTTGGCCCTCTCCTCTTTTCCATCTACGTTAATGACCTTCCAAATGACTCTCAACATCTTAAGCCAGTTTTATTTACTGATGACACAACCTTCATTTTCTCCAGTCCTAACCCTCTTATTTTGAATGACAGTAAAGTCCATCTTTGGCTAACTGGTAACAAACTCACTTTTAACATTGACAAAACCTTCTATATTTTGTTTGGTAATAAATCCTCAGATCAAATTAATCTAAGAATTAACAATATCCAAATTAGTAACAAAGTATATGGAAAAATCCTTGGTGTCCTCATCGATAACAAGCTGAACATCTAGAGACACATTCAGAATATAGCAAAAAAAAAGTTTCTAAAACAGTTGGCATTCTTTCTAAAATCAGATACGATGTACCTCTCTCTCCCCTGGTAATGCTATATTATTCTCTCATCTATCCTTATCTACGTCCTCTAATTACTCAACACAAATCTGCTATTAGAACAATAACAAACTCTAGCCGCAGACAGCACTCAGCCCCCTTACTTAAATCTTTTAATATGTTAGATATTAAGTCACTGCACATCCTGTCAAGTGTACTCTATATATATAAAACTCTGAACTGTAATGCCAATCCTTACCTAAAATGCTTCCTAGAAGGTTGTAACAGAACCCATGGGCACCACACCAGAAACAAATACCTATTTGATATTCCAAGAGTGCGAGTTAACCAAACTAGAAATGTTATGCAAATCAAGGAACCCAGAATGTGGAATGACCTTCCCATTCACGTCAAAGACAGTACTTCTCTCAACCAGTTTAAGAGAAAAACTAAGTACTACCTAATAAATTCCATGTAACCTACATTACCTCCTAAATATCAACCCATGTCTCGCTATTTTCAAACAATATTGATTATTGACCAACTTGTTTAACTGCTGATATTCGCCATGTATAAACTTGAAGAAATTTGTAGTCTTCTGTTTATTTAGTTAAAATTACTTCTGCTGTTCTGATTCAATTTCTGCTGTTCCATCCATCATGTAATTATTATAATTCTTTTTCTTTTTTCCCTTTTTCAATTCAATTTATACATTGGACTCAATTAGTTATAAGTTTTATTCAAAGTGTTTTTCCCACACCTTGCCCGAAACGCTGTGGATATTAGTGGCTTTTGGCATAGTATATATTAGCTCTATCTAGAAATCAACATTCTGTTTTGCAACTCATCTTGTGTGCATGTACTTTTACCTGAATAAACATTATTTATTTATTTATTTATTACAAGCAGGACTATGAAGTGGAGAGTGGCATGGCCCAGCGTGTCAACTGCCTGGTGGGCTTCACAGTGGTGTCCATCCTCCTGGGGGCGGCGGCGCTCACTCTCTCAGTCCTCCTCCTCTTCCAGGTACGTTTTCTTCAGCCACTCGTCCAGGAGAAAGAAAATATTGAAGTGCATTATTTAGTTATTTTTAAAACACATAAACCTGCTATTACTTTTTATGTGGGAAAATGTCCGTGACTGTAGACTTGTCTTGGGACCATGCAGGCGGAGTGTAGTTACCTAAGTGTAGTTACAGGATGAGAGCTACGCTCGTGGTGTCCCATCTTCCCAGTACTCTTTGTTGCATGTTTCACCTAGGGCGCCTGACAGCTGGGTGGACAGCGCTTCGGATTCGTAGTCCTGAGGTTCCGGGTTTGATCCCGGTGGAGGCGGAGACAAATTGGCAAAATGTTTCTTTCACTCTGATACCCCTGTCACCTAGCAGTAAATAGGTACCTGGGAGTTAGACAGCTGCTACAGCTTGCTTCCCGAGGGGTGTGTAACAAAAGGAAGGCCTGGTCGAGGACCGGGCCGCGGGGACGCTAAGCCCCGAAACCATCTCAAGATAACCTCAAGATAACCAATACACCACGGGAACTATAGTCAGGCACGAACAGAAACGTAGTCGTTGCCTCATCCTGTAGTGTGTTGTTAAGTCTTCATGAATGTGTCAACACTGCCGCAGTTGTCCTATTTCCAAAAAAGTCATTCCTTAATCATATTTCTACCATGTCCTTTATTCCTCAATTTATGTTCATCGGCAGCTTCGCAGGACTGGCATTATAGGTAACAAGCACCACACTCTTAGAGGTAATCTATCCTCTTGGGCTTGACGGTGGGAAACAGCTGTGGCTAGGTTAGGTTGACCACAGACCTTTACCTCGCGGGCACTTAGTGGAACGCCGCCCTCATACCTAATATCTGAACTGCACTCCCACGCTCAGGGCTGCGCAACTCCCACCATCAAAAACCTTACTTCCACAATACTCGTGTCTCCCACGTGTCCCACGCTAATATCCCAGGTGAATTGTGTTCCTTGGCATCACAGTTGAGGTTTACCACTTCTGAAAGTGCGGCGACATAGACTATATAGTCCTCCCGCTTGACCCCTTCTTTTGATAATTACTTACTGACACTTCATATTCCTGAAGAGGAGAGAGAAAACATTAATATAATGTAATAATCATTGTGGCAGGCATTCGAGGTGTCAGCGCGGGAGGAGGCGGACTTGGCAGCACTGAGTCAGCGCCTTCGTCAGCTGGAGCGTGAGGTGAGTACCTTGTTCTCTCCCCTCAACCACTGCTGCACGCTCACCTGGTGGGTGGTGTGTGTGGTGGTGTTGGGTGGTGGTGTGTGGTGGTGGTGGTGTGTGGTGGTGGTGTGTGGTGGTGTGTGTGGTGGTGTGTGTGGTGGTGTGTGGTGTAGTTTGATGTGTGGTGCTACTGGTGTGTATTTCTTATTTATATGTGCTGAATCGAGCTATTAGCTCTTGGACCCCGCCTTTCTAACCAATTTATTTTTCCTCTATTATGTCTTCTACATATATTTTTCTTACACACACACACACACACATACACACACACACACACACACATCCCCAGGAAGCAACCCGCAGCAGCTGTCTAAGTCCCAGGTACCTATTTATTGCTATGTGAACAGAGGCCTCAGAGTGAAAAAAGTGCCCATTTGTTTCTGCCTCCGTTGGGAATCGAACTACGACTCCCTTAGGACTACGACTCCCAAGCGCTGTCCACTCAGCGGTGAGGCCCCAGTGTGTGTGTGGGGGTACTCACCTAATATACTTAACTACTCATGCTTGCGGGGGGTTGAGCTCTGGCTCTTTGGTCCCGCCTCTCAACTGTCAATCAACTAATGTACAGGTTCCTGAGCCTATTGGGCTCTATCATATCTACGCTTGAAGCTGTGTATGGAGTCAGCCTCCACCACATCACTTCCTAATGCATTCCATTTGTCTACTACTCTGACTCAGAAAAATTCTTTCTAACGTCTCTATGGCTCATTTGGACACTCAATTTCCACCTGTGTCCCCTAGTACGTGTGCCTCTTGTGTTAAATAGTCTGTCTTATCTACCCTATCAATTCCTCTAAGAATCTTGTATGTGGTGATCATGTCTCCTCTAACTCTTCTGTCTCCCAGTGACGTGAGGTTTAATTCCTGTAGTCTCTCCTCGTAGCTCATACCCCTCTGTTCGGGTACTAGTCTGGTGGCAAACCTTTGAACCTTTTCCAGTTTAGTCTTATGCTTGACTAGATATGGACTCCATGCTGGAGCAGCATACTCCAGGATTGGTCTGACATATGTGGTATACAAAGTTCTGAAAGATTCCTTACACAAGTTTCTAAAGGCCGTTCTTATGTTAGCCAACCTGGCATATGCCGCTGATGTTATCCTCTTGATATGGGCTTCAGGGGACAATATGTGTGTGTGTGTGTGTGTGTGTGTGTGTGTGTGTGTGTGTGTGTGTGTGTGTGTGTGTGTGTGTGTGTGTGTGTGTGTGTGTTTGCGTGCGTGCGTGCGTGATATAGTGAGGCGTGTAACTTACGGCCTTGTACCCACAGGTAGGGCTTGCTGACTCTACCGAGAACATCATATACATGGGTCCCGCGGGCGACCATGTTCCCGAAGACACCCCTCTACTGAAGGCTGCTGGCCCACCAGAGAAAATGGAGCCTTCAGAAGTTGAGGTGGAACCTGTGGCAGGCGAGGAGCTGCCAGTGAGTGTGGAACACCCACACCACCGCAATGAGGAAGTGACAGTGGGTGAGGAACATCCATACACTGAGAACAATGGGGGAGAAGAAACGCGTCACATGTTGCCTCCGGCCGTTAGCGACGATGAAGAGAGCGAGCTGGAGGGCTCAGGGGAGTGCCCTCACTACCCGCGACCCGTCTGCCCAAGGAACAAGACAATCTGTAATGACAGGAACGCTGAGGGCTGCCCAGTTCCTGTGTGCTGTTAACTCATCCGAGAACATGTTTCCCCCTATTTCTATTGCTATGGATCTTATAGCATTATATGTACTGCCTTCTTGTACTCAGCTTAACACTATATCAGTGTTCACTGTTGTACCTGCATGTATAATTACCTTAATGTATATTACATCAAACAATGAATGACCGAGACATGTAGTATTGCAGAGAGCTGTAGCTAATGCACGATCTTACTATAAATGATAATATGATAATATTAAATGGTAAATTATAATATTTTGCAGCATCATGACCTCGACGGCTGCTGTGGGAGACGGTCCCATGAGTTTATTACTCTGGGAGAATTTGTCTTATGTATAAAGCTTTGTGGCTTGATAACCCTGAGTTAAGGGTGTTGCCTCGCCTGTGTCACTTTACACAACTTCAAGAAATGGTTTAAGTCATCAAACTTGTTCAGTATAATGATTACGTGACCCGTATCGTCTCCGGCTTGAGGAGACACGAGTCCTGTCACCTTCAACTGTTCTTGATTACTCGCGCTGACTCAATCCCTAAATATTTTTTTCACTCTATGTTGATTGTTACTCTATTTATGTGGCCTCCGTGAAGGAGCAGTGGTGGTGCATCACCACAGTAGGACTGTGTTGGTGCACCACCACAGTAGGACTGTGTTGGTGCACCACCACAGTAGGACTGTGTTGGTGCACCACCACAGTAGGACTGTTGGTGCACCACCATAGTAGGACTGTGTAGGTGCACCACCACAGTAGGACTGTGGTGGTGTATCAATAAAGAGACGAGTATTGTATAACTCTCGGTGTTCGCTTAATTATGTTTCAGCAGTATGGTGTGTTAATATGTGTAGCGTTAAGACCAATAAACTGGCGCATAACATACTAATGTATAATATATTCCATTAATATAGTTATTTACTTATTTACACCTGTAAGAAATTAAGTCAATCTGTTTGTCCAAATTTGGAGGCCAGATTCTTGGGGCAAGCCTCACTCAAATTTAAAGAAGGAATCGTCTGTTGTATGGGACGGACATAGGCTGACCAGGGTAGGCCTAAATTTAATGCTTTTGTAAATGTTATCAATTATAAGCATCGGCCATTTTCATGAAGTTTTTTATGGGGTCAAGCATGGTGTGTGGTGTGACATTAACGTGGAATTGTGACCACAACATAATTTCTGAGAACCATGCAGCTGTGTCAGTGGTTCATAATATATTTTCTGAAAGAAGTGGAGATTTGTGAGGCAAGGGGGGAGGGAGACTGAGGGAGGGATAGATAGATAAAAATATAGATATATAATCAGATAGATGAATAACTGTATGAGTAGATGGATGGATGGATAAATTGATAGACGATGAATAGATATTGATGGATAGATATATGGATGAATTCATGGATGGATAGATAAATGGATTAATACATTGGATGATTGACAAATAGATAGGCGAAGGGATTGAATTCGCTTGGGGTGAGGTGGTATCTCAAATGGATACCCGAACTGGGTGAAGAACCCATCAAGAGCTGCTCTGGCAGTGTCCTCTGCCGTCTGGGATGGTAAGGGCACACACTCAATCCATTTAGTGAACTGATCTACCATCACCAGGAAATATTCGTTGCCTCTCTGAGTCTTAGGCAATGGTCCCAAAATGTCCAAGTGTACACTTTCCATTGGTGCACCCGCATGGTACTTAAGCAACTCGTGCCTGCTGCTCTTAGATGCTTTTTTGTTTACACTGCATTGGCGGCATGATGCCACATAGTTCGCAACATCAGTTGAATGCCCATACCAAAAGTACCTTGATCTAAACCGCTCCATTGTGCGATTCCGGTCTTGGTGGTCCATATCAGGTATATCGTGGCATGGGTTCAGCACCTCCTGCCTCAGACTAGTAGGTATATATAACAGCTTTTGGGCAGCTCCCCCCTGATGTACTTTGTGCCACCACCAAAGGCCATTTTCCATGAGAAAGGCCTTATTGTTTAGCCAGTAGTATTTCATGGTGGGGTTGGTTCCAAACAGATCACCTTCTGCTGGTTGACGGCCTCCCACCCATTCTCATGTCCGGATCTCTCTCCGTCTGCTCCTGTAACTCTAGTAAATGTAATTCTAATCTGTCCACAGTTGTTTTGGTGATAATCTTAACACTCACTGCTTCCGGGGCCATTGCACCTTCCTCCTTACCCAATGTTTATGCTGGCTCCATTCGGCCAATGTAACCAGAATCCCACGGGAAGACAATCAAGTTGGAATCCTCCGACCACCAGTTTTGAATAGGGGCTATAGTGCTCACCTGTCTGACTGTCCCCAGGATCTGAACATTACATGCACATCTGAACAACCCCGTAGCCAGTGGGACTACGTCGTCTACCGTCTCCTGGAAGGTCGCCCAGTTCTGATGAGGCCTGCGACAATAGGGACATCCTCCACACTGCAGGTCCTGCACTAGAATGTCCTGGCGGAAGTAGGCACACACTTGTTGGGCGTCTCCCTCCCTCCCTCCCTGGATAAGGAGTCTGCATTGGTGTGTTTTTTCCCGCTCTGTGTTGAATTTTTAAATCAAATTGGCTCAGCTCCTCCAGCCAACGAGCTAATTAGCCTTGGGGGTTCTTAAACCTAATCAGCCAAAGCAAACTACCGTGGTCGGTGCGAATGACAAAAGGCCACCCCAAGAGAGTGCTGAAAAAGCCTGGTAAACCTGACTACTGCCAATAACTCTTTCCTAGTGGTGCAATACCTTCTCTGTTCTGGGGTCAATGCAAAACTGACATAAGCAACTACATTTTCTTGTCCTTCTTGAATCTGTAGCAGTTCAGCTTCTATCACCCAGTCGGAGGAATTGGTATCCAGGATAAAGGGGTCATGTCCATTAGGTAGTCCCAACACCGGAGCTATAGTTAAAGCCGTTTTGACAGCCGCAAAGGCCTCATGATGCTTATCTCTGCATTCAAATCTGTTTAGGCCGGTCAGTGCATATAGGGGTGCGGCTAACTCTGCAAATCCCTTTATAAAGGCCCGGTGGTAGTTGGCCAGTCCTAAGAATCTTTCTACGTCTTTGGATGACCCAGGAGTCTGCCATTTCACCTGTGTGTCTATTGCCTCTTTTCCCAGTTCTAGCCCCGCCCTGCTAACTATCCTGCCCAGGAACTCAACCCGCTTCTTGAAGAGAGCACATTTTTGTGGTTTCAGGCGTAAGCCATAGGTTCTGAATCTCTCAAACACCTGCGCTAGGTTGGAGAGGTGGCTTTGGAATGAATCACCCAGCACTAGGATGTCATCCAAGAAAGCTAGCACAGTTTCCCAATTTAGCTCCCATAATACCAAATTCATAACCCTGGCATAGGTAGCTGTAGCATTACAGAGATCGAAAGCCATTTTCTTGAATTCGAACAGTACATACTTGGTAATGAATGCCGTTTTCTTCCGATCTTCTTCTGCTATGTTGATCTAGTAGTAAGCCGAGTTGGCATCTAGCTTACTAAACCATTAATTTCCCGCCAATGTGTACAGACACTCATCGACTAGGGGGAGCGGGTACACATCCTTTATGGTGCGGGAGTTCAGTCCCCGATAGTCTACACACCACCGAACCGACGCATCCCTCTTCCTTACTAGGACTGGTGCTGATTCCCACTCAGACATTATTGATGGTTGGATGATGCCTGCGTCAAGCATGTGCTGAAGATGTCCTTTCTCCTCCTGTGCAAAGCATGCGGGTGTTCGTCGTATTTTTTGTTTCATGGGTCTTGCATTTCCTGTGCCGATGTGGTGAGATACCTCCTTGAACGATCCCAGATCAAATTCACTTACAGCAAAGATGTCTTGAAAGATCCACAACAGGTGGGTCAGTTGGCTCGCCTGTTCTTGTGTTAATGTTTCTTCGACATCCTGTAACAGTCATAATATGAGGGGGTAGTTTGAATTGGGTTTCACTTGGTACCTTGCCCAGTGCCCTTGCTGCCACAATCGGGCATGACCCAGGTAGAATTTCCCATGCTGCCTTTACATTTGCCTCTTTAATGTAATATTCTGCCTTGTTACATTGAGTATACATACCTTCAGGGTTTCTTCCTTCCGATGGAGCGTGTAAACCACTGGCACATGCCCATCTTCCAAGGGCTCCACTATACACTGGAGCATAATTCTGTCCAGTTCACATTTGACATTGGCAACTAAATGCGGCGGGATAACAGTGTATTGGGACACTGCTACTTTAGCGATGCACAGGTCTAGGCTAGAATTAGACTCGTCTTTCCTCCCCCTCTGCATGGGGATCACCTGTCCCTGTAATATCATCTGAGATTTATCCAGGATTATACTGATGCCGTGTCTTTTCATGAAATCAAGCCCTAACAACATGTTATCTGCAATTGGCGCCACATACACTCCCACAGTGTATTCCCATCCCGCAACAAATAAGGGGATGGGGCCCACTAGCGTTCCCTGCTGTACTTAAGGTTATGTGTTATATCACCTGGGATGGTGGGGTTCAGCTGTTGATGGATCTCCTGGGAGATGATAGTGACTTCGGCCGCCATATCAACTATTGCCTTGACCTTCACGTCCCAAATCTGGACTGGGATCCAAAACATAGAACCAGATCTGAGTTGTCTGATAATTATTTAATCTCTTCCCTCGTCCTGCCCTTCCATGTCCGAAGTCATCTGGTCTGCCTCTGTCTTGTTCTCCCCAGAGGAAACCCCGTCCTCTAGCAGAGTGAGCCTGGCCTCCTGGCCTAACTTGTCCTCGCTCAAGTCTGAGTCAGGGTCATCCCGGACTACTTTGTTGATAAGATCGGAGATGTCCTCCTCGCTTTCCAACAATCCCTGGTGGATCTGTTCATCTTCCGTGCAGTCGTCCATTGATAGTAGATGTGCTGTAGCTTCCGACTCGGGTGGGCACTCACCCAGCCCTCTATCGTGCTCCAATACCCTTTCTTTGGCTGTTATACACTGGGTCGGATTTAGTCCAAATGAGCCGACCCGGCAGCGTTTAAAGAAACTTTCTGGTCTTCAAATGAAACACGTGGCTTGTTGCCCGGGAGGTCCCTGTGCTGGCAAGTTCCTTCCCCATCAGTTCTGGATTCCGAACAGTCCCGAGCAATATGATCCTCTTCCCTACACCTGTAGCACTGAACTGTTCGCCTAGGGGATGGGCTACAGAGATTATGCGGCCAAAAAATGGCTGCTGTGAGAGGCCTCAAACCCTCACACACCTGGTCCAATTTGTTGGTGACCTCTGAGATTCCAACTGCCAAGGTGTCCAATTTCGCATCCATACCTGTGGAAGATAGAGAACCCGATCCCGCACTTGGCGGCCGGTGAGCACCAATTCCACGACCAGAAGGACTGGTAACCGGTGAGGTACCCATGGATCTGGTAAGGGTGCATGTAAAGCACTGGAAAGCGTCATTACTCCTGGGTGGCTGCTCATACCGGGAATATCTACTCACTGCATTTACTCGCACTGCTGGACCCTGCGACAAACGGTAATGGGAATTGTATTTGTTGGAACCTGAGGAACCGTGGATCACAACAACATTGTGTTGGAAAGTTTGGGCCCGATCAATAGCTTCCTCCATTGATGAGTTCCTCGCATTGGAAATATATTCTGCCAGATTCTTATCCTGTAATCCCTGGTCAAATCTCATTACTGCAATTTGTTCCACTTCCCACTGTGGCACGTGTTTGTAGGCTCGATGAGCCAAGTGGTGGACTCTATTAGCCCAATCAGCGATGTCCTCCCCACTTCCCTATCTTCGAACCGCTTGGCCATCTTATGCATCATACGATTATAATCGATGGACGGCTCTCTGTCGAGTAAGCGATTGTAAAAATCACTCGCTTTGCCCTTGAGGCACCACCCTAACTATGTCAATGA